GGTGGCACTGCGGCTGCTGGAGGTGGTGGCGGTAGTGCGGCTGCTGGTGGTGGTGGCACTGCGGCTGCTGGAGGTGGTGGTGGCACTGCGGCTGCTGGAGGTGGTCGCGGCACTGCGGCTGCTGGAGGTGGTGGTGGCACTGCGGCTGCTGGAGGTGGTGGCACTGCGGCTGCTGGTGGTGGTGGTGGCACTGCGGCTGGTGGTGGCGGCGGTGGTAGCAACATGTGTTGGAGTGCCTTAGTGCAGGGTGAAGAGAGAGCGGAAGCAAAAAAAAAAAACGGTCGTACGGCGCTACACAAATCAGCAATAAAAGCAGTCCACCATGCCACCTCAATGCACTCCACATACATTCGAGCACATGCAGCCGACCACACACACACACACGCACGCACGCGGGGAGACAAACACTACCCCGAGCCCTCCTCTTGAGCTGTCAGTTGGCACAAATCGTACGTTTTCTTCTTTTTGGTGCCACGAAGGATCTTGTAGGCATGAATGATCCACTGCATCGTGTTCTTGGACTCGTCGCTGTCGCGGTAAACCAGATCAGGGTGGTGGCGCCGTGCGGCTTTACAGAACGCGCTCGCAATGTCTTTTGCCGTGGTGTTCAGCTCCCGACCGCTCAGGCTCAGCAGCTGGTAGAACCCAAGTGGGTCGACATTCTCCAGGCCCGTCCGTCGCCTGTTCTTTGGGTCAATGTGGCGCTTACTTTGCGCCTCATCCCGCGCAGCCTCCTCCTTCACCCGCTGCTCAAATGCCTACTTTCTGCGTGCCCGCTGCCGCAGCTCCTCGCGATACTCATACTCAGCCCGCTCCTCATCCTCCAGCGTCCAGCGATAGCCGTTCTGGTCAGAGAAAAAATACAACATACCAGTTGTCTTGAGCTCTGCCATTTGCCGTGCCTGCTCCTTCAGGAAGCGTAGGGTGAGCAGGTAGCGCCTAATGTACACGGACGCGACCGCCGATGCAATTACGGCTGCTGTCGTCATGCCGGAGTCTACAACCGGGGCCAGCGTTAGCATGGCGGCCATCCCCTCCAACTTTCTGAGAAGTTCAAAGCACAAGATCAGCATGGAGGGGACGTGTGTGCCAGCCACACACCGTTCCACAGCGGAGAGCGGGTGAAGGTATGACGTGGAAACCTGATTGAAGACGTGGTGCTCGCCAAAGGGGTAGTGAGACTCGTAGCTCGGCCTCTCCACCCACACGAGGCAGTGCTGCAGCGTCAATAATGCTGGATCCTTCTGGAGCACATTGGCGCGGAAACTGCCGCTCGCCGCCGTCGTGCCAAGCCAAACGGGCATCCAGCGCCTCTTCCTCGCCAACGTGGAAGGGGATGTCATGCACCTTCCTATCTAGACGCAGATTACATCTCTCTAGGTGATCCATCGAGTGGGCAAATGCCGCAATGTTGGTTTTCCCCGAACCTGACGGACTATCCTCCTCAAAGAGACCCATCATCGTGCGCCGTTGGGTGAGGGACGCGAGTGGTGCGCTGAGAGGGCCCACAGAATGTAATCACACCACAAATCGCAGGCACAATGGGCTCATCTCTGCTTTTTTGTTCTGTGCCTCTTCGCATGGTGCATGGGGGGAAAAAACAGCAACAACAGTGGGGAACAGATGCAACGGAGGTTGCAACGCTCTTTCGGATTCGTCGTATAGCAGAAACAGTGGTGGAAATGAAACAATGCCCCCCCACCCACCCCCCCCCGCCTCTCCGGACCCGTACTTGCACACACTCCCTCACACACCCATTGCATATTACATCAGAGGTGAAAATGCAGGAGAAATCACAAAGCAGGGCGTGAGTCAACGATCAAAGTAGTTCCACATGTACGCCACCCTCAAGAGAAATGAACGGCGTGGGGCCCAAAACCAGCGTGTCACGCATAAACACTAAACGCAACTTCTCCACCATATCAACAATAAATGCGGCAAGTTTGCGCGACAATGGCACAATTGGGTCCGGCCACCAGTACATGCAGGCCACACCAAACGTCTCAAGAAAGAGGGAGAAGCACATTTCTCCGGCAGGAAGAGATGGAATGCGCCCCTGCACCACCTCCAACATCTTCAGAACTTCGTCTTCAGACATAAAACGTGCTTTGCGCTGGTACCCAACACGGCTGGAGTCAACTTCGTTATCCGGCAGAATAAAATTGCAGTCCACAAACATTCTCAGATACATCGTATGCGAGAGACGTGACATGAAGCGTCCGCAGCCCTGAGCCTTGCGAAATCGCCCCTGCAGGCTCTCCACCATCTGACGATTCATGTAAAAGAAGAACACGCGAGCCAGATCGTGCCTAAAATAAGCCACGACTCGCTGTGGCTCCGGTTCGTAGAAACTAGATGTGACCGGCAAAGCATTCTCCAGCACTGGAAACCGGAGACCCGAGAGAAAGTGTTCGGTCGCCTCAACGATGCCACCCGTGTGCTGCGTCACCGCAAGACGCACAAGGATCTCCGTGAACTGGGCAGGCTTCACGTCGCGTAGCTCAATTTCTTCCTGAGCCTCCTCTAGCGCCTTCCTCCGCCCCTCATCCTTCGCGCTGGAGCGCCATAGCGCGGCGAGATGTGGAGAGGTGACTGTGTCGAAGATTTGCATCACCACCAATGGAGAAAAGGGCTCTTCGGTCAGCCGGGTTTCCTCGGCGAAGCGCCAAAACTGCTCCTCGCCCATCTTCCGTGCATCCGCGCCGGCGAAGTGGTAAAAGTGGGAGACAATAAGCTGAATGTGCTTCCAGAGCACACCTCTAAGCACCGTCCGCAAAAACGTCTTCCATGCCTGCGAGTTTGGTGTTTTGACCCTCGCCCGGAGGTCCTCCGTGTTTTTTGCGCTAATGCTTGTGAAGGTAAGAGCTGTGCTTGATGTCACGACGTAAACGGGCCGCCCCCGAGCTCGTTCCCGCATAATGTGGTCGGCCTCCTGACCTATCGCCACGCCACAGTGCTGGAACTTGTGCTCATTTAGCACATTGGCGTACAGCTCCTCCGCCCACAGCTCCAGTTCGCTTCCCCACTCACTAACTTTTAGTTGGAGGCCTTCTTCGTTATTAAAACCCATGCTAGTCGCGATGCTCTCGTCTGTACCACCACCATCAGCCTCAGCCTCAGCCTCAGCCTCAGCCTCAGCCTCAGCTTCAGCAACACTAGCATTCTCCTCATCATGCGTGGCAGCCGCAGCAGAAGCGGTGGTCGGGGTGGCGATGGAGTTATTGGCGCTGGGCCCATACCGCGCCACCACGTCACTAACAATTCGTCGTGCCTCGTCTATGTACATCACCCGCTTCTCGCGGACGTGAAATAAAAATATCTCTGCGACGGAAGCGGCTATCTTGTCTTCCCGCATGTGGTCAAAGTCTTCCGGCCCCAGGGCACTGACAAGCGGCGTGCTCGCGGCGAACTGACACACCCGAGCCAACCGCTCGGGTTTGCTGAGGCCCCTCAGCCACATCGGCAGCTTCGGGGGCGCGACGGTGACGACCTGGTCCTCCGCAAAGACATGCTGCAGCAGAAGCAGATACGCCTCACCATTGGAAAAGTCTGCGGCGAAGTTGGCTACCTGCAGAGTCCGTTTGGTCCGTCGCCTGGAGTAGATGTGGTTGCACCACTTCAACAGAAACTTGTGGCCGGGCGGAAAGGTGTCCTCCTCCACCGTCGTGGCATCCAACTTCTTTGACCTGGGTTCCTGCAGCGCCTCGTCAAGCCAACCGTCCGTCACCTCCGCAACGCGAAAACGGGCGTCAATCGATTTCCTCAGCACGCAGCGTTGCCGCTGCACGAGCTTCACCAGCTCTCTGACACAAACCTTCATACGCTCCCGGTGCTCCTTTTCTCTGAGGATAAGCGTCTCGTTGAGCTCCTCCACGTGCTTCTGCAGCTCTTCACGCTCGCTCATGAACATCAGAATATCCGCCTGCCTCTGTTCACAGCTCAGCTGCAGCTTATCTGCGCGGAAGCACTGCATCTGAAACTGGTTCTTTGCACTCTCTAGCTGGTATGCTGCCTGGTGCAAGCGCTCTGTCAGATACTCCGTGCGGGAGGATTCCACAGCGGTCTTCCACCGAAAGAAGGCCGCCTGCATACGCAAGGATTTTATTCTTTGTTCGTGGCGGATGATTACATTGCGTCGAAGCAGTTCGTCTGCGCGACGTCGTCTAGTGAACACCCGCCACGCCAAAAACGATTTTCGTTTGCTCGCATATTGAATGTATTCCACGAGCGCGAGCACAAATTTTTTCCATTGCAGGATCACTGGTAGCGTGCGCTGCAACCGCCCTGAGAGAGCCTCAATGGTGGCGTTGCCCACCACAAGGTCCTGCATGTACATGGAGTGGGAAAAGTACGGGTTGTCGCGGAGCAGATTCCGGTCATTCACAAGGACTTGTATCGCAGGGGAGACGTGGTCGAGCCTTTGCTCATCGTAGTCTCGGTATATGGCGGGAAACAAGGCATCCACGAGGGCCTTCATCACCCATGGCCTAGAGAAGGTACCGCATAGAAGCTTCATAGCCCAGGACGCGGCCGCGGCGCGTGCCTGCGGTGTGACACCTTCCTGGAGAGCAATATCCCGCAGCACCGTCTCAACAAAAAGTTCCACGGAGGTGAACTGATGGTAGCGCTGCACGTGGTGCAGAAGAAGCTTGGCGTAGCGGTGGCGCTCAATCTTCGTGTCTGTGCCCACATCCGTTTCCGCATCGGGCTGCCGCGGGGTGGCACCAGTGGGAGCGGCGGTGGCAACAGCAGCAGCAATCTTGGCGGTGCCACCACCGGCTACGCGGCTCGGGGGCGCCAGCTCCGGCAACAAAACGGGCTGCCGGCGCTTTGACAACGGCATGGTCCGCCCGTCCCCTGCGGCCCCACGCTTTGCAATGTTATGCAGCCTTCCCTTGCACACTCTCACTGCGTGTGCCAGCCCCCTCTTTTTTTTTCTTTGGCTTGATTCACCGCACTTCACGCGAGGAAAAACAAGGCACTGGTCAGGTTGACAAAGCGAGGCGGGACCGGCGGCAACAACGCATCACTTCTGCGCCAATGCAGAAGGCAAACAGATGTCAGAAAGAACCTGTAAACATACGCCCTGCTACACGCATAGCAGTTGGGGAAGGGAAAAATCAATGGTAACAAGAACATGCTGAAGGAAACAAAACCCACAAAGAAGCAAGCTCACAATACATCTCATGACTTGGATACATAGCGAAGTCACAGACACGGTCGTTGTAGCGGGTAAGCGACATCCATCTCACACAGGGCCCAATCATTCCGCCATTGAATTGCTCATTTCATCCTCCCTTTTCTGCCGTCTCTCCCGCTCGTATGCGGCAAAGGTGAGGTCACAGTTCAAGCGAAGGGGTGCGCGGTTAGTCCTCATCTCTTGAATGCCTTGAATCAAATGCCTGATACTTCCCTTTACCGCATCCGTAAACCACTCACCGTCATGGGCAATAGAAGTGGGGGGTGACACCGAAAGATCTGTCACTTTTGCTGTGCTGATGCCACCGCCTGCATCATACATCGCAATTGTCTCATTCGCTTCCTTTACATCTGTACTTTGTGCTACTTCCAACCCCACGTTTTCCGCTACCTGCCTTTGACCCAACATATCTTCCTCTGCTAATATTTCCTCTGATTGCTCTTCCACAGCTGTGACTGAAGGCACACAGTGCAAAGAGCCAGCAGTGAAGCTGCCGTCTAGTTCTCCTCCTTCTACACGTGCTGTCCCCAGCAATGTATTGTTCCTTGGAAGCGAAAACGGTGCCAGTGAGATATGCTCGTCTACCGCAGGGCGGGGCAGGTGCGACGGGAAAGAATGGGTAAGAGAGGCGGATTGATCGTGCGTGAACGACTGCGTCGGTATGCATGGCTCCGTCGACGCCAACGGGGTTGTGGAACGCAAGCAAAATCGGCGCTCCCGCACATCGCGGAGGGTGGTCCTTAACGCCGGGAGTTCACTGTCGTCAATGTTCTTTCGCTTCAGGGACTTGAGGGTGACTTGCCTTTTCTTCATCTCGGAGAGCGTCGCGTCAATCAGGGAGGCCTTGGCGGCAGTGGACATGTTCGCGCCTTGGCGATTCGGCGCCGCCGGGGCATCTGACCTTCCATTGGGCCGCCTGCCGTCGTGCGACGAGTTCGCATGATGGGTTTTATCCTTCACCGCATCGGCCATCTCTAGCGCAAGCGTCTTAAGGGCTAAGAGCCGCTTGAAGGCGTCCCCCGCCCTTGGGTAGGGGTTCTTGTCCGGGTGCACCAAGAGCGTCCAGCGTTGGTAGGCCTTGTTGACATCCGCAGGCATCGCCCCAGCCCCAAACAGGGCCCCGTGGGTGACGGCGGGATCTAAAATAGCCTCAACAATGTCCGCGTACCGGTGCGGCAGAGGCACAGCGGAGGGGTCGGCCAGGACTCTGCATATACGCGCCATTTTCACGTACCTGGGATGCAGCACCATCAGATTGCAGTAGAAGGTGGCCGCCGCTTTTATGTCACCGCTGTCAAAGAAACTTTTGGCGACAGCCTCCATCGTTCGTCTTCACGCTGGCCCCCCGCTCACTCTCAATCACATACCTAGCACCAGAGCATGCAGAAGCAAAAAAAACAACAAACAAACAAACACACATATGCATACCATGATTGTCAATGAAGTAGTACTGCGGATGTGCGAAAGCAACAACAGCAATGAAGCAAAGGGAGGATAAAATGCATAATCATTTGAGAGAATGGTACTAGAAAAATTTGTGCCTCCCCTCTCATCTTTCCTGCGCGTCTGCGAGTGCACTTCCCTTTCTCCCGCGCTTTGGTGAGAGAGTTTCGCTGTATGGCCGCACGCAGGCCGCATGACGCGAGTTTGCCCACCACGCCGGTGGGCGACTCTAAAGTAATTTCCACAAGCCCACCGCCATCCCCCGTAGCTCACCTCCCTTCCCCGCAACAGCCATCACGACGCCCACGAAGCAACCTTTCCGTACGTAAATTATCTCTCTTTTTTTTTTGTTTGCTTCTTGTTGTTGTTGTTGCGGTGTTCCCCGTGCGTGCATTACGCCGAACAGGCAGCAGCCACACAAGAAGGATCGGAGGTTGTCACCTCCCCCCGCCTTTCTACCCCAACGACGCAGGCACCCTCCCCCACAAAAAAAAAAAAAGCGAGACACATTCAGAAGGGGGAAGCAAAACAGCGGCAATTAGAACCACTTACCGGTGCGGTCAAACTGCTTGCGCAGGGCAGCTGCATCCTGTGAGTCTTTTCCGTAGCGTGTGCCATCCTTCCGCATGACCCCAACCACGATGAACGCGTGTGTGTTGAGTGATTGCACACCGTCGCCAAGACGAACCTCAAAGACGGGGTATTCGCACATGGTCTGCCACTCTTCTGCCTCATCTGGCCGCTCACGGTACTCACACTTGTAGGTGATCTGCAGCCAGTCCTCCTGTGCCATCTGCCCCATGTAGCAGTTCACCAACTGGAAGGAGTCCAGCTCTATCTGGTACGTGTTATTTACCGCCTGCATCTTGAGGGCCTTCCAGCTCTTCCTGGAAAAATTCTCACTCATTACTAACTTGATTTCGTTGCAAATACGACTCGCCTCTCCGTGTGTCGTGAGGCGCTGCAGCACCTTCAGATCCTCCGGATTAAACGAGTGCGAGGTCTTCTTCAGCAGCACGAACAGCTTCTGAAGCAACTCTGGATTGAAGTCTGGGCGGCGTTCGACAAGCTTTCGCATCGTCATGAAGCGTCGGAACGCCTTCTTGAGGCCAGAAATTGTCGTGTAACGGATGGGCGTGATGTCGGGGTCCATGATGCAGTCCATTGACGCAAACCGCATCTGCTTGGACCACTGCTCCTTGTCAAAGTCGTAGTCGGTACGCCTCTGCGAGGCCGCCTGATTTTCCGCTTCCCACCGCGTCTGAACGCTGCGGTTCACGTTGAGTCGTCGGCGCTGCGAAAGTAGCGCCTCAGGGCGCAGGGCCCCGCCCGCGAGAAGTGCTCCCACCCGCGGCCTGCACAGCATTGTGACCTTACCTCCCTCTTTCCAGTTTCAGTTTTTATTGTTGCCTCCTCCTGGGCCCGTCCGCACCCCGCGCCGCTACGAGAAGGAAGCATCAGAGCAAAGTGGCAAGCAGCGCACTGTACAGCAGAGACGGCGGCGGCGAAAACACAAACACAACTGGAACCGCACACACGGGCGCACAATAAACGTAAACTTTGATGCAGAGCAAATTAAACGTATCACATGAAACAGAACAAGGTGAGGTGATTGGCACCTCAAGCAATGCAGGCACACACACACACACACACACAGACGCGAACACAGCAACAGTCAAAAAAAAAAAACCCATTGCGCTATTATTTACATAGCCTCTTTCGAGAGAGTACGTCTCTCAGGGAAAACAGGCAAAGTCACGTACCCCACCAATGAAGAACTTCCATCATTCCCCCCTTTCTTTTTGCCTCTTGTTTGGCGTACACGCAAGTTGCACTCAGCACGGCGCTTTAACCGCTTAAAGATGCAGCGGCGGGTGTTGGCGGTGGTCTTGGCGAGAACGCCAAACAAGACACGGGCGAACTCAATGAATGTGAGGGTACCGCAGAGTTTCCAAGAGCGCCGATGAGGCACTGCACGACAGAACGCTAGCAGGCTTCTTCACAACGGGTACCCAGCTTGGCAGCAAGCAGAGGCTTCCCTCCGTTACGGCTGTGTAGGACACGTCGATCTCCTTAAGACCTGACATGGATGACAGCACACCAATGGAATGAATGCATAAACAACCGCCTATATTCAAATAGTTCAGCGATGGACACATCGCGCAAGCCCCGCAATGCCTTCGTCGTCGACGTTTGTGCCACGAAGGTCAAGAACCTGTAACATTTGAAGCCCACCGAGCGCGTTAGCGCCGCAAATGTCCCAACTGTGTGACAGGCTTAGGTGTTCCAAGTTTTTGCAACGGGAGAGGCCCTCCATGCCCCCGTCACGCACGCCACACCAGGATGCGTTCATCCACACAAGTCTTTTGAGGGAGCCCAGTGAGTTGAGGGAAGTGACGAGAAAGCACCCAGCGAGATCCAGATGAGTTAGCGCGGGGTGGTGCCAACAACCGCGATGGCACGATCTGTGATGCCGGAGTTGCGCAGCTTCAGCACCCGGAGGCGCGCCATGCCCTTCATAAAAGGAATACCACAAATAAAAGCACATCCGGAGAGATCCACCTTCTCCAGCAAGGGACAGGCGGAAAGCGCAAGCAGAGCGTCGTCGTCCACCCCAGTTTTAGACAAATCAAGACTCTTCAGCGAACGAAGATGTCACAACGCCTCCACCCGTGTAACATTGCGACAGGAGCGGAGCTCGAGGTGCTTCAAGGTGGCACAAGCTGCAAGAGGGGAAAGTGCTTCGTTAAGTAGCGTGACCTCTGGAATAAGCAGACAGCGAAGACACGCAATTTTTTCACTTCGGTGAGGTCTCCAATAGAGCTACGGAACGCAAAAGAAAAGAGCTACTAATTTGCAGCCATTAACATGTACCTGCCGCCTAATCCACCACAACGTTTACTTTAGGTTTGACGGTTGCCCGCACCAGGCGCCGCAGTGGGGCAGCCACACCTCACCTCCCCCCCCCCAGGTGGTCCCTACCGTCCCACTGCGTCACTGTGCTTCGATGCAGCGGCCTACAAACGACACGCTCCGCTGCCTGCCGGGTGGCGTCAGAGGCTGCGAGAAAAGCTGGCGGATGCGCCAGCAGATATCCAGCAACGTCTTAGAGAAGTCCGTTGAGGGAAGACACACCTGAGCGGGGCCCTGTCGCATGCATTCCCCCCCCCCGCACACCCTCGTTCTCTTCCTTCGGTCCCCGTCAGTCCTTATTGATGTCTGTTTCTCTGCCTTTGCCGTTCAACGTAAAGGTGCTGTCCGTGATGGGCTGCAGCGGCCACAGAAGGAAATCATGATGTGATTACAAGAGAGAATAACACAGTAAAAAAAAAAAATGCAAAAAATGAAAACATGAGGCCCAAGTCACACACACTGACGTACCAACAACAACTAGAAAAAAAAAAGTTTCTCTTAGACGTCTTCAATGTGTGTAGCTGAGGTGACAACGCAGCTCAAAACCATGCAGGAGACGTGCACTGCACCGCCGCTTGAGAATAAAGCTCCTCCCAGCCCTGTTGTGGAGAGGCTTGAGAAAAGACAAGATTCATCCGACAGCCACCACACGCTCACATGAAAGCCATTCCACCAGTGTGTAAAGGAACCAATGCACTGCCAGCAAAAGGAGGGGCTGGGATACATAGAAAGAGAGAGAGTGTGTGTGTGTGTGTGTGTGTGTGTGTGTGTGTGGGCCCGTGCGTGCCGAGATTCTTCCACGAATACATTCTTTCCCCTACCTTTGTATTCTTTGACCTTTTCTTCCCTCCCCTTCAACCACCTCTCACAAAGTCAGTCGGAGAACGCCATGCTAATGAGCCACTCCATGACATCCCCGAGCCCCAGCCCATTCCAAGAATCAACAGCAAACAACTGTGTGTTTTTGCACGTCTCCACTGGTAGGAAAAACCCCAACTCCTCTTCTGTCATGGCATTCTTTGCAAGTGCCTTGTTCAGCAGCACCACCGTCGGCCAGTCGCGGCATGCCCCATCGGAGCCCTTCAGTCTACTGAACATGACAGACGCCATAGGGAGCAAGTGCGGCGACAACGCATCCACAAGGAAGATTAAGGCAGGCTTGACACCCTCCTTGTCTTTGATGGAGTTCTCCCAGGAGCGAATAAACCTCTCCCACAGCGAGGCCAGTTCCCCGCCCACCTCGCGGAGTTCCACTGTGCGGGGCAAGACCTTTTGCTGCGGCGCCTTAATGCCGAGTAAATGCACCTCCTGCCCCTGCGTTGGGGCGTCGTGGATCGGACGGGCCTGCAGAGTGCCGCTTTCGCACATGCAACTGAGCTGCCGCAACAGGTTTGTTTTTCCCGAGCCCGAGGAGCCAAGCACGTAAACGACGAGCGAGCTTTTCATGACCCGCCTAGCATGTCACGCCTTTTCTTTCACCCAGACACAAGACGTCAAAAAAGAAAGAAAAAGTTTCAAGGGAGTACAATGCGTGGACTGTGCAAAAACATTCATAGAGAGAGAGAGAGAGAGAGAGAGAGAGAGAGAGAGAGAG